GGGCTAAACCTGTAGCTCAAGCCAGGTGGTGCAATATTAGCATATGACAGAGGCGTGAAAACAATTCCTTTATCCTAGTGCTTTGGCAAACTTCATCAAACGGAATTATCTCTTCAAACTAAATGAATCACTTAAATGGTTAATTTTAGTAGGAAAATGATACATAGACTGAAAATGATTGCCGAATTGTATTCGTCTCCAGATTTAGGGGGATTTGATATGCAGAAAAGATGGAAAGACTCAAACAATCAGATAAAAATATGTATGTATATATATAATATGAGAAAAGAAGACTTTTTTTCTAATTATTAAAAGAGGTAGCTTGCCAGGCTTGAGTAGCCTGGCAAGCTACCTGTGGCGTATTCGATATGCCAAAAACAGTTACAGTACAGGTTTCATTCCCCTGACCCTGAAAGACACTCCAATATGGCAGCTTTGGGAAAGACGAGTAAGGAGAGGCTGCTAAAATCTCAGGGTTGGGACGAATGGAGATGTTACTGGTTCCTGCTCTAGTAAATTGATGAACAATAGGATGACAGTGATACAGAGATACAGTGATTAAAAGAGGTTGCTAAGACAGTAAGAAAAGAGAGTATGGGAAACAAAAAGTACTCCCCCCAAATTACAACTCGAGAAGTTCTATTTAAATACATGGTTTATAAGTACTATGGAAATAAATGATGAAGTAACCAATAAGTAGTGATGAAGAAGAGACATAAACATGACGTATGATAGATGGTATTTGATAGGTTAGGTGTTAAATTTTATTATAAATTCATACATATCAAGGTATACCAAGATTCAGGTGTAACTCAGCAGGTACTTGACAAAGTCTTGCAAGACTTCCTTTTGGAGGTCACAGAGATAGTACAACAGATAAGGAACTTGCCTTGCTTGTAGTCAGCACAGGCTCTATTTGCAGTACCCAGTGAGATCTCCTGAGCCCACCAAGAGTAATCACTGATCACAGAGCTAGGAGTCAGCACTGAGTAAAGCTGAGTATGGCCCCTGAACAAACAAACAAAAATATTTACTTGGATGACAGTCTAAGACAAAGAATGAATGGGTGAATTAAACAATTGCTAATCACTTACTGTCAAACAGAAATGGTGGTATGCTGGTACTATTGAATTCTCATCAAAATTTTATTGACGTGGATGAAGATGGAGAGGAAGGCAAACAACATCATAACTCGTGGTTGTTGAAATAATATAATAATGTAATGTGAACAAATCTGTTCTCTCCTGATAAGATTTAGAGATCAAAATATAAATAAATGAATGTTGTTGTTGTTATTGTTTTGGCCACAACAGTGCGTAGGGTTTACTCCTAGCTCTGCTCACAGAAATCACTCTTTGACAGGCTTGGGGGAACCATATGGGATGCCAGGAATTGAACCTGGGTCAGCCACATGCAAGGCAACCCAACCCACTGTACCATCTCTTTTACCCTGAGGAGCTGAATTAAATGTTAAAAGAAAAAAAAACATATTTAGGAACTTGAGGATATAAGATTAGGAGAAAGCAGGATGACCACAATCTAGAAGAAAAATATTTAGTCAACAGGTGATATAGTGACAAACAGGAATTAAACACTGTTATAAAGCCTAGAGAAGGTAACAGAACCATACTTTTTGTCCCCCTCAATCCCTTTATCTATGGTCATGCTGGCGTTTATGGGGCTTTAATGCATGTGATGTACTCTGAAAGAAAATTACCCTGAGCAAGAGTCATATTTGTTTAGTAATTGATTTCAAGGAGTCTATCAGGATACTCCTAAGTGAATTATGAAATGAAATATTCAGAAACCTTAGGAAAGGCAAAGGCAACGAAAGAATAAGGGAAGAAAGGGAAAGCAAAACTGAGGAACTGATATCCAAACAAATACAGTTTGAGAGCAAAAAAAAGTCACACACAAATGAAAATTTCATTTATGAAAGGCTTCACATTGAAGATTAAAGGGATCATTCAACAAATTATATTATGTGTTTCATATAGAAAAAATGAAATTGCATCTTATGCCATATAACATAAAAATCTATTTCTGATGAACTGCAGCCTCAATGTAATGATTAAGCCTTTAGAAACATAGGATAGAGAATAAATAATTCTTAAAATGCAAACATTATCTACCATAAAAGAAGATTGATATATTTGACTATATTAAGTACTTCTGTGTATTGAAAGGCACCATAGGTAAAATGCAAGCTACAAAGGAGGAGAGGAACTTTGCAACAGCTAATACTGATAAAGGTCTCTGTCCCTCTGTCTCTGTTTCTTTCTTTACATAAAGAAAGCATGCATACACACAGACACATATGTACATTTGAGAGAGAAATGGGCGAAGGCGTGAAAAGGCCTTCACAAGGCCACAAAAAGGTACACTTGAGATGGGCAAAATTAAAGAGGCTGTTATTACCTAATTTTGTCAATAACATAGAGTAATAAGATGTCAAGTACTCCGCTGAAAGGAATGTAAACTAGTCCAACCACTTTGAAAAATAATTTTGAATTACTGAGGAAAGAATTCATTTATCCTCTGACTCAGCATTTCTATTCCCAGGAAAACTCTTACTCATATGCAGCAATAAACAGAGGTAAGAAAATTTGTAGGCGCATGTGTGGAATAGCAATCACTGTAGGGGTCAGAGAGATAGTACAATGAATATGGTGTTTGCCCAGTACATGGACAATCCAGGTTCAATACCTGGCACATAGTTTTCCCTGGTCACTACCAGGAATGACCCCTGAGCACAGAGCTGGGAGTAAACACTGAGCACAGCCGAATAAGGCCCCCAAACAAAGCAAAACAAAGAAAGTAATCACTAGAAATCAAATCACAAATCATCCTGTTAATCGTCGATTGCCTCGAGCAGGACCCAGTAATGTCTCCTTCATCCTAGCCCTGAGATTATATTCAAGGCTCTTTAGGAGAATGAGACCCATCATTGTTACTGGTATTTGGCATATTGGGTACGTCATGGGGAGTTTGCCAGACTCTGCCGTGTGGGCAGGCTACATTTGGTAGCCTGCCAGTTTGTCCAAAGTAGGAATGAGATAATAAGATGTTATAATAGGATGTTGCGCGGCCGTGGCCGCGCGGTTCTGGAAGCTGGTTTTTATAGTCTCTGAGTCTTGGCCGTTGATGGGATTGCACGGCGCCAGGGGGCCAGTTGGTGGGTGTGACCCCCGCCTACTGGAATTTGAAGGATCGGGGTGGAGGATGCTCGGCCCAAATCCGAGTAGGCTTGGGGATCTCGGCCCCGGAACCCGCGTGACTTTGTCCCTCTGCCAGTACCTTCATGTGTGCGGAGAGTGGTCACTAGAAATGAAGTTCCTTAATAGAAAATAACCTAAAGCCCTTCCATAGATAAAAAAGATAAGTCAAGCAGAAGTGTTCAAACAACAGAATGGTTATATAGTGGTTAAAGAATAAATTATAGCGGCTGGAGTGATAGTACAGTGGGTAGGGCGTTTGTCTTGCAGGCGGTTGACCCGGGTTCTATTTCCAGCATCCCATATGGTCCCCTGAGCACCGCCAGGAGTGTTCCTGAGTGCAAAGCCAGGAGTAACCCCTGTACATCTCCAGTGTGACCCAAAAAAGTCACAAAAAAGAATAAATTAAAATTTTATATATTATATGGTTGTCTCAGAATTATGATTGTGAATAATAAAGCAAATTGCAAGAACATTTCTGTGGCATGCTACATTATTAGACCACTGTCACTGTCCTCCCATTGTTCATCGATTTGCTCGAGCAGGCCCAGTAATGTCTCTATTTTGAGACTTATTGTTACTGTGTTTGGCATATTGAATAAGTCATGGGTAGCTTGCCAGGCTTTGCCGTTCAGGCGAGATACTCTCAGTAGCTTGCTGGGCTCTCTGAGAGGGGTGGAGGAATCAAAACTGTCTCAGCTGGGCTGGCTGCACGCAAGGCAAACGCCCTACCACTGCGCTATATTATAAAGCCCTTCAAAAAGCATAAATTAAAAAAATATGAGGGATATATATGTACACTAAAACAAATGTATTAAGGGTAGATATTAAAAAATAGTAAATTTTAGTAGAAGGAAACAGATAGATCATCATAAAATACTTCACTGAATCACATTGGCTAAGACCCTTTTATCTTACAAAGGAATATATTCACAGAAATCAGGATTAGCTCATGAAAACATCTGGGATGGAAGGGCAGAAACTATTTTAAAACTATTTTAAGTTAGAAATGATACCTTTTAAGGATAAGCCATACTACAATCTCCTACTTCCTAACTGGGATGTTGTATTCACTGAGATTAATTTTATTATTGGGGTGGTCCTCTTAACCTCTTTTAGACTGATAATGTCACAGTTATCACTTAATCACTTAACTTCCCGTTAGTCGTCGATTTGCTCGAGCGGGCGCCAGTAATGTCTCCATTTGTCCCTGTTGCATGCTAGTGTGACAGTTATAGGCAACACAAATTTATATCTTTCTGGAAATGGGTTGGGCTCTCCAACTTTCTATTAAATTCATGTCAATAAAATAAGAATACAGAGATGCACTTTGAAATTAAGGAAAGTAATCATCTCAATTGGATTCAGTACTATTAAATGTCAGCTAAAATAATACATTCTGTACTTGGAACCATATTTTATGAGAAACATATTTGATGAACTGAGATTCTAGGGTGAATTAATAAAGGCACAAGGCTATTAAAAATCCATTTCACTAGAATGGTTGAATGAAGTTAATATTGAGATATTTTAACTGAGATAAGAGATTAGGAGAAATTTGATAATTTTAAAATTAAAGAGAGATACTGTCAAGTTTTTAATTTGTTACTTCATTCTTTATATAGAGAGTGACCACCCACTATCAATGGACAGAAATTTGAGGCTGATTTAAGCTTTTACAATTAAAGTATCTGCTCTCAGTTGCAAGCAGGATGACAACTCTGGATAGTGGTCTATTGTATCTCAATAATTTCCTAGCGCCATTAAAAGTTGTTTTTCTTTATTCAGGGGAGACCATGAATGCTGTCCCCCACAACCACAAATTATGCAGTCAAGTTTCCAACATTTGGGGAAGTTACAGGGGTCAGCATACTGGAGTGCAGTGGATAAGCCTTGCCTTGGGAAAAAATCACCTTCATGACCATGGTATTCCTCTGCCAGGTGAATATGCCATTAAAAATGTTACACTTTTTAAGTTGGCAAAACCCTCCATGATATTGAAGTTAATGGTATCTTCAAAGATGTCACGCCACTGGCCAAGCAAGTGAAAACAGAGATAGACAAATGGGACTATCTTAAACTAAGAAGCTTCCGCACCTCAAAAGAAACAGTGACCAAAATACAAAGACAGTCTACAGGATGGGAAAGGATATTCGCCAAATACACAACCGACAAGGGGTTGATATCAAGGATATACAAGGTACTGGTTGAACTCCACAAGAAGAAAGCACCCATCCCCATCAAAAAATGGGGCAAGGAAATGAACAGAAACTTTCGCAAATGAGAAGTTCGAATGGCTAAAAGGCACATGAGAAAATGCTCTACATCACTTATCATCAGGGAGATACAGATCAAAACAACAATGAGATAACATTTCACACCACAGAGACTAGCCCACATCCACAAGAACAAAAGCAATTGATGCTGGCACGGATGTGGCGAGAAACGGACTCTCCTTCACTGCTGGTGGGAATGCTGACTGGTCCAACCCTTTTGGAAAACAGTATGGATGATTCTCAAAAAATTAGAAATTGAGCTCCCATTTGACCCAGTGATACCACTCCTGGGAATATATCCCAGAGAGGCAAAAAAAGTATAGTCGAAGTGACATCTGTACTTGTTTATTCATTGCAGCACTCTTTACAATAGTCAGAATCTGGGAAAAAAAAAAAAAAACGGAGTGCCCGAGAACACATGACTGGTTAAAGAAACTTTGGTACATTTACACAACGGAGTACTATGTAGCTGTTAGAAAAGATGAAGTCATGAAATTCACATATAAGTCGTATACTACATGGAAAGTATCATGTTAAGTGAAATGAGTCAGAAAGAGCGGGATTGACACAGAAAGATTGCATTCATCTGGGGAACATAAAGCAACAAAATGGGAGACTAACACCCAGGAGTGGCCAAGATTAGTACCAGGAATTTGCTCCATGACTTGGAGGCCAGCCACACGCGCTAGGGGAAAAGGACGCTCAGATAGAGAAGAGAGCACCAAATAAAGAGTGCTGGGAGGATCCTCCCAGGGTGGGAGAAGCATGCTGAAAGTAGACTATAGACCAAACATGACTGCCACTCAATGCCTCTCTTGCAAACCACAGGACCTAAAAGGAGAGAGAGAGATCAAGGGGGAATGCCCTGCCACAGAGGCAGGGTGGGATGGGGGGGGTTGGGGAGTAGGAGGGATGCTGGGACCCGTGGTGGTGGAGGATGGGCACTGGTGGAGGGATGGGTACTTGATCATTGTATAACTGAAACCCAAGCAGAAAAATTTGTAAGTCTATAACTGTACCTCATGGTGTTTCACTAATAAAAAAATGTTACACTTTTTAAAAGGTTTAGAAATTCCAATTTCTTTATAATATATTATATTTCATAATTCAGACCACAGGATTATCATATGTTTTGTCTAAAAAAAACCAATACTATTGTGAGTTTGTTTGTACAGTTTATTCTTTATTTCTTCAAAATCAGTTCCTATGATAATGATAATAATAATGGATAATGGATAACAATGAAAGTAAATCTCTAATTCTTATGGGATTACTTGATCTCTTTAAACCTCAGTTGTAGGATAGGGTTAATAGTAATAGCCTCAGAGAGGCTAGATAATGCCCTTCTACCCCAAATATTTTCATGAGCTAATTCTGATATCTGTGAATATACTCCTTTTTTTTGAGAAAGGAAATTTTGTCAATGTGATTCAGTGAAGTATTTCATGATGAGAATACTGTCCTGAATTACTTGGTCGGCTCAGTATAATCACAAAGTTCCTCTGAAGAGCAATGCAGGAGAAAGCTGAGGCAGAGAAGTTCAGGCAGTTATGGATGCACGTACTTTTTAGATGGAGAAAACAGATTGTTGGAAGTCAAGAAGCAGGTTTGCCCCAAAATGGAAAAGGGCAGGCAAGGAATTATTCTCTTCATGTCTGTAGAAGACGATGTGCAGACACCTGGATTTTAGTCCTGTGAAACTCAGTCCTACTTTCTGATGTCCACAACTTTGAGGTAATATATTTGTGCTATCCGAGGATACTAAATTTAAGGCAATTTGTTAATGGGGCTAAGTAATGAATACCCCACCTCATGGTGTGTGTGTGTGTGTGTGTGTGTGTGTGTGTGTGTGTGTTTGTGTGTGTATGCAACTTCCCCTAGGTTACCTTTGTTCTGGGCACTCATTAATCAAGAAAGACTATTCCCGTGTTTAAAACAAAACGAAAGATGGAAAGAGGTCAATTATTTCTTAGCCTATTTGCCTGATAAATGACTATCAATATTTTAGGAGTAATGTCCTTAGCAAAAACCTTAGTTCTAAGACTCCATGTAGATTTTCTCTGAGTCTCCATTTATTTCACTCAATGATAAACTTTCAGGAATAGGTTTTACTTACCATCCTCACTCAGAGATGTCCAGACTCTTATCCTCCTACATGGCAGGATGTTTGACACACTTTCCATGTTGGATATGGTACATATAAAAGCACATGGCAATCAAAAATGATCAAAATAAAGCAGACACCAGAGTGCTTGCTATTACGCACAACCTCCCTTTCATAGTCCTGCTTTTTCTAATTCACCCTAGAAAGTCTGCAAAAACGTTTTGCCACCTATAAATTATCCTGTAAGTTCTTTTACTTTTCCCTTACACTCCACCTCTCTTTTTACCACCTTTAGTTTGATATGGAGTTAAGTGTCATCAGAAACTGAGATAATATTCAGTGAACATATTGAGGAATCGTTTATTCAACCTGAAAAAAAAAATCCAGAAAACTTTACAGGGTATTTGGTTTGGAAATAGGAATAGATTTTAACTCATTTTTTTAAAAAATAGAGAAATGGTTTAGGGGAGTAAGAAAATACATTCCAAGACAGAAAAGCATCCTGCAAAAGAGTAAAATATCTAGGGTCCAGAGTTATAGTACAGAGGGTAGGGTGTTTGCCTTGCATATGGCTGACCCAAGTTCAATTCCTGGCACCCCATATGGTCCCCAAGTCCATGAGGACTGGTCTCTGAGCACAGAACCAGGAGTAAGAGTAGAGCACTGCCAAGTGTGATTTACAAACAGAGGGAGAAGGAGAAGGAAAAGAAGAAGGATGGAGAAGGAAGAGAAGGAGAAAGAGGGAGACGGAGAAGAAGAGGAAAAAGGAAAGGGAGAGGGAAATGGAGAAGTAGAGGGAGGCAAAAGGGAACGGGAGAGGGAGGGAGAGAAGGAGGAGTAGGTGGAGGAGGAAGAGGAGGAGGAGGAAGAGAAGTTTGGCTTTTTAAAAAGAAAATTAAGAATTAAAAATTGGTCAAGGTATCTAGGATGTTGGAACAGTCTGGGCTTGGGATGGAGGCTATGGGATGGGTATGGAGGTAAAGCACCTGAGAGGAGCAAACATTTGCTGAAAACAAACTAGATGGCAAGAAGAAAGAAGTTTACAAGGACAGAGAAATTCCAGATTGACTGATTAGGGCACTGTGACATCACTGGCCAAGCCAAACAAGAAAAATGGGAAGAAGAACAGAGTTTGGGACTGTGTAGGCAGAGTCTCCTAAGGAGATTAAAAGAAAAAGAAAAAAAACAAGTGGGGAGAGGATGAGGTTACTAGGGTAGGGTGCAAGTCAGCTGTGCCAAGGGCAGTAATGAGATCCAGGTCACAACAGAAAGAGGTAGCACGGAGCCACATCAAATCAAGAATTACTCAAGACCCCTGATCATGCCCATGTGAAGATAAACACTTCTTCCTTGCCAGATTTGCTAACTGGTGTAAACAGCATACACCTGGCTAGCACACATCTGACTCAAGACCCAAGCTGGGCGCATTTGCTATGAAAACTGGAGGGGAATGGAGCATTCCCGTCTTCTCGTGGTCTCAGATCAAAGTTAAAAGAAAAAAAGTTAGTCCTTAAAGTTTTAAGGGGGGAGGGAGAAAAAAGTCATAAAAAAGAAAAACAGAAAACAATGAGAAATGTGGGCCCTAGGCTATAATAGGCAACACTGTGTATCCTGTAGATTCTCCTCTGGTCTCCGCCTCTTCAAGCCCCTTAAAACTTGCTAGGAAGAATAAACCATTAGACTTCATAGAAGTCGAAATTAATTGCAGCTTAAGTGATTAGAAAAATCAAAGAACTATATAAATGCTTATACATACACTAATCATTAAACAAGCCCTCCAGAGAAATGGTGGGAGAAAGCAAGGACGACGGGAAAATAACAAAAGGCACAGGGCTGAGAAAGGGATTAGAGAGACCCCAGGGTGGGTCAGGAAACAATAGAAACTCCTTTAGAGGGGAGGAGAAAGAAATAATGCTGCAATAACAATGTCTGCATATGTCTGGGGTAAGGGCAGGGCTTGATGTTTTCTTTCATTTTTCCCCCACAGAAATAAGGAATATATCAAAGAGAACAAAAGAGGGACTGCTTTTCTCAGGGAATAAAACTGAAAAAGAACAATGACGGGGGAGTCAGAGAAGGAAACTTGGTGGGTGACGCATGTAAGATCTCTAAAATCTTGGGGTCTTCTGGACAAAAAGGCAGCGTTCACAGCCACCCAGTGGTTCACAGCACAAGCAGTTATCCAAGGCTTAACTAAGAACGAGACACAGAACTCAGAAGTATGCGGAAAGTAGACTATAGACCAAACATGATTGTCACCCATTGCCTCTTTTGCAAACCACAACACCCAATAAGAGAGAGAGAACAAAAGGGAATGCCCTGCCACAGAGGCAGGGTGGGATGGGGGGATGGGGGGTGGGAGGGATACTGGGATCCGTGGTTGTGGGAAATGGGCACCGGTGGAGGGATGGGTATTTGATCATTGTATAATTGAAACCCAAGCACAAAAATGTGTAAGTCTGCAACTGTACCTCATGATGTCTCACTATTAAAAAATTTTTTAATAAAAAAATTTTTAAAAAAGTTTAGCTAATATATAGCACTGTAGCACTGTCCTCCCGTTGTTCAT